TCGAGCGGCTTGTCGAGGATGTTGGACATCTTGTACTCGAAGTTCTGCGCGGCGACGAGCGGGTTGATCAGCTTGCGTCCGTTCTTGATCATGGCGTGGATCTCGCCGCACGCGCCGCCGAGGTTGGCGTTGTTGTAGAACGCTTCCCACAAATAGTAGAGCGACTTGTGGCCGGGCTTGGTGCCTGCGTCGATGAGCACGCAGAGCTCGGGCTGGAGGTGACGGCCGAGGGCGTTGAAGAGCCAGCGGTGGCTGTTGATCTTTTTGCTGTTCTTCTGCTTGAGGCAGAAGATCATCTGGACGGGCACGAGGTTGGAGGCGTCGTCGCCGTGGGGCTGGATGAGCGCGGGTGTGGGGTCGACCGAGAGCTGGGTGGTGTACTCGAAGAGATGGGCGACGGTGTCCTTGCCGTCGACCTTGCGCTTCATGACGCCGTCCTGGTATACGCCGACGGTTGCGAGCAGATCGAGCACCTCCTTGTCGCATGGGTCGATGCCATCAAAGATGAGGCTAACGACGATGCGCTGCCATCCGGGACGGCCCTCCTCGGCGGAGCGTCGCCAGAACTTGGAGGCCTTGCTCTTGCAAATGTCGCGGATGTTGAGCATGACGCCGTGGAGCGTGCGTGCGAGCAGGATGCGGTCCTCGTTGTAGTAGGTGATGGCAATGAGCAGCTCCGTGTCGCGGCCGTACTGCGACGAGGTGCGCAGGCTCCAACCGTTTTCGAGCGTAAACTCGTCCGGATCGCACGTGGCGGCGGTGTAGCGCATGTGCGAGAACTCCTGGGTACGGCTGCCTTGGGCCCATTTTGGCTCGACCGAGTTCTTGATGGCGGTAGGGACGGGGTGGTCGACGATCCAGTGACCGCGAGTGAGCTTGACCTTTTTGGTGAGGCCGCGCTTGGGCGCTTGCTGGCGCTTTGCCCATGCGACCTGGCTTGCGCTGTCTTCGGGCCCGAGGTCGGACGAGTAGGATGATGGACCGCCGTAGGGTGCTGGCGTGGGGAACGAGCTCGGGTTGGCGAGATTGTAGGCGCTGTGGCTGGCGTTGGAGAAGCCGTACTTTTCGTCTGCAGACTCGGTGAGCGGCACCTTGTACTCTTCGTCGTAGCCGTAGCCTGCATGTCCCTCGGAGGTGCCTGGAGCTAGGGTCTGGAAGCTTGGGTTCTCGCCGGAGTAGAAGGGGTTCTCGTGGTGCATGGTAGTCGAGCTGCCATAGGCGCTGTTCGGCTGGGCGTATGGGACGCTGGGCTGGCGGAGCGGATCATCCTGGATGGGGCGGAAGCCGTCAAACCAACGACGTAGCGAAGACATGCCGGTTGTTGCGACGGAGATGGTCGTGAAGAGACGAGGAAAGAGTGGAAAGATGTCAGTTTTAAGGCGGCTTGAAGTCGAGGGAAAGCCGCTAGACCGGCGATGGATGGGGCCGAAAGTGGAGTCGAGGCGGCGTGCAGCCGAGGCTATTGATGAAGGTGGGGCGAGTGAGATCGAAACTTACGGTGAGCTGGTAGGAGCGCTGTTGTCGCTGCTGGCGCTGCTGACGGTTCTGGCCAGGCCGGGAGGCATATGCGTCGTAGCTCATATTTGCTTGCGTCTCGAGGTAGACTGTCCGGTCTTGGTGGTAATGAAGCGGTTCAGGAGGGAATCATGCGGCGTGTGGATCGGATCTTTTGAGCGCCGGCAGGTAATGAAGGCGAGACGAGAAGCCCAAAGGCTAGGGATGGTGGGTTGGGAAGATGAAGAGGAACTTTCCGAAGGTGAAAAGCGTAGGAGATGCCGGCAGCCTTTGGAAGAGACGGGAACGACGGGAGCCGACGCGGATCGTTGGGGATGAGATGGTGGTTGCTAGATGAGGGCAGGATTGTTGAGCGCGACTGTCGGACTCGGACCGACCGATGAGGAGGAGAGGAGGAGAGGATGTCACTTTTGCAGTGTGGCGGCCGGCGTGTGAATGTGACGGCGTGATTGAAGCGTTGTTGCGAGGGGGAGGGATTGCTGGCTGTTGATGCTCTGGCTCTGGATCGGCAGGAGGGGCATCAGGGCTGCATGAGGATGCTGCAAGGGCGGTGTGCATTTAGAGAAAAATGGGGTTGCGTCAGAGCATCGCGGGGCCAACTGCCTGCCTGGCTGTCCGCCCGCGAGACAATCAGTCCCACGCGCTCATCCGACGCGCGATTGACAGCGGGTAAGCCGAAACGCCGATCCTCTGTTCCACTTTACTTTTTTCTGTCTCTTGGCGGCCGCAGTCCCTCTTCCTTCCCGGACATCGTATCTACACAAAGCCTGAGATCTCCATATCCATCAGCTATGCTCCAAAGGGTAATCCCACAGCTGACGCTGTCCAAGTCCACTTTGACATTGCGTTGCGGTGACTCTCGGGTGAGATGAGAGAGCGGAGTTCAAAGGCGTCCTCATGTCTATTTTTTCCTCTCGCTTCGCGCAGCCGGCGAATTTCTTTTAAAAAAATTAAATCTTAAAAGCTTGAAAAGGCGACGCGGGACATCCACCAACATCACCTTGCTCGGACAAAATGGATGGAGAGCCGTATGCGACCCAAGCCTGGTGTGCTTCGGTGCATGCCCGATCCTACGACGAGGAGAGAGAGAGTGCTTCTGAGCCGGCTAGGACTGCGATGGACGTAGAATGCGAATGCGGTCGAAGTTAGCTCTTGGCTCTCGGGCCCTTCCGACGCGCCAAGTCATCTTGCCGCTCGCCAAACAAGCGCTCTGCTGCTGCGCTTTCTGCCATCGAAGCTGGCATCGCACGCCTACAGACAACATCCATCTGGTACGCAACCTGCATCCTCCTCCTCGTCCTCCTCCTCATCAACGATGCGATGCTACGATGCGATGCGACGCTTGCCCGATCGATCTCGATCCGTCTCCGATGATTTGTGTGCGGGGCGGTGCAGGAAATGCACACCGGCGCCAACAGCGCCAATTTTCGCAGCTCTTGCAGCGTGCATACGGCCGCCCGCCCAGCCGGATTTCATGCCGCGTCGGCCGTCCTGCCTTGTGCTGTGCGACGTTGTGGTGCATGGTTGGCATGCGCAGCATCTGCGACGACAATCATGTTGCCGCCTTTGCAACTGTCAACCTCGCGCCCAGCAGTAAGCGTGGTCGGCCAGCACGGCACGGCTATCCACCGTGGCGTGCCCCCCGCCAGCTGGACAAAAGAATCACCACCCGAGACGCCCGAGGCTGTGCAACTTTGCTTGGCTGTGGCGCCAGCCAAATCGCCTTGGATGCTTTCCCCACGCCCTCGCGTTGCCTCGGCTCCTCGCAACGCCGCCATTGTCACTCCACACTGCTCATCACATGCTCTTGTCTGGGCCGCGCCGTCAGCCGGTCGCAACGTGGATGCCTTGCATTGCATTTGCCCCACACGCGCACGTCAGAGCTCGTCGGTGCGCTGCGAGCGTTGGTGGCTCAATCGAATGTTGATCGCCTCGTTGATAATCCGATCCACATCGAGCGGCGGCAGGCTGTCGAGCATGCTCCTCGTCTCCGACCGGTCGAGTTCCTCGAGCGAGTCCTTGCAGTTGGTGAGGATGGCAATGCACACGTACAGATGCAGATCCATAAAATCCGGTAGCGCAAAGTACGTGTCCCACAGCCGCATGAGGTCTTCGATGCGCAGCTCGCCCGCCAGCAGATGCTGCAGCCAGTTGGTCGCGAATCCGATAATGTCCACCTCCTCCTCCTCAAAGTACGAGTGCAGCTCCGGTAGCGTCGTCCGGAACAGCGTCAGAAACGTTGCCACCTGCCGTGGTAGCGGATGCCGCGCGCTGTGCCGCGCCATCAGCGTCATCAGCTTCTCGAACGCAAAGTACATGCCCGCCTCGACGCGCACGCACTGCACAAACGGCGCACACAGGTACACCAGCGCAGGGTGGAACTCGGAGGCGGTGCCTGCGCGCCCGCCCGCAGCCGTGGTGATCTGCGGCTCCCACTCGTACTCGCGTGGCATGCGCGAGCGAACACTTTCCTCCACACTCGCCTTGTCACGCCCACTCCCACCGGCTGCGTTGCTGCCGCCGCTCATCGAGCCTGCGCGCGACCGCGATCGTGAGCTGCTGACGCCCGATTGTGTGTGCCGTGTCCGACTGCCGTTCGATCGAGTCGTTGCTGCGCCGTTGCCACCCTCGCCCGCCTCGGTGGACCGCGACGTATCGTCGCCCCATGGTGAGTACTCGACCTGCCGGCGCTCGTCGTTGGACGCCTCGCTGGCGTGTGTTGCTGTTTGACTTGTGCTCGTCTCCGGTTCGTAGATCGCTGGCGCTGCGGCGTTGATGGCATCCGCTGCACGTCGGCGCGCTGCCTCGGCGGCCGCACATCGGTTCATAAACGCGCACACAATGCTCTCCACGCTTCGTCCGAAACGTTTGAGCTCGAGCGCAGCTGCTGCATCCGGATCGTCCGCGTCCATCGCCGCCGACACGCCGCTTTCGCCAATGATGCCACCCAGCGCATGGATCCTCCCATCGTTTACCCGATTCGGCCCACGATCCGCACCGAGCAACGTTGCTGTGGCCACGCCTGCCGTTCCGACCGCTGGCATCACCGAGTGCGGGCTTCCCATCGCCGCGACTGCTCCGCCCAGTGCCGACCCTGCTCCTGGTCCGTCGCTTGTGCCTGCGCCAGCACTTCCTATGCCGCCCGAGTATCCGCCGGGTCTTCTCGCCGCCACGCTGCGCGAGCTGCGCATGAGCGTTCTGCCAGGCGGCGGCCTTGTGCCCAGCCGCTTCTGGTAGTATCGTTGGCATTCGCTGCGCACGCGCTTCTCGAGCGCCGGGTTGTGCTTGTCCAGCGCCTCGTACTCGAGATACTTGCTGCGCACCGATGTCATCTCCTGTCCCTTGTCGTCGCTCAGCACGCCCAGCAGGTACAGCCACACCTCGCCGCGCACTGCAGGCTGCACCCCATGCCGCGCAAGGTCGCGCAGCTTTTGCAGATCCACATGCTGCTCGGCGTTGAGCAGCTCCACAAACTCTTCCACCGTCGCAGAGCCCATCTCGCCCCGCAGCGCTCGCAAGCTGGTATGTCGATGGAAGCTGTTCTGTCGGCACTCCTTGCCGTATTGGCTCCGACTCGAGGAGAAGATCGAGCGTCGAAGTCGTGTGTGGCGCAGGCGGGCCTCAGCTGCTGCTGAACGTGCAGCTCATGTTGGCGAGGAACATGGAGAACCAGATGCAAGGGCTGCAACCTCCTTCCGAAATGCACCTTTTCTGCCGTGCACGGTCGTGCAGCCGCAGGCGAATTTGCCTCAGATTGATGTGTTAGATCTCTAGTCTCAGTGTCACATCGGTGCGATCACAACCGCTCACACGCACAAACCACGCCATCAAAGCATCTGTAGAACAATGATGTCCAGTGTATAGGCTAGAAATACAAAATGCGCCGACCCGGTATCTGCTCGAGGAGCTGGTTGTGGCGAAATATGAGGAACGACCCTCACGACGAATCATTAAGGTCAGGAATAAGATAAGGACGGTCCAGCAGCGGCCGTGCAGTTTACAGCTCCGTGGTTCGACCTGACCACCTCTGTGGGGTGGATGTCTCGCTGCCGGTAGTCGTCGAAGCTGCGCTCCAGGCTGTCCACGAGCGCCAGCCTCCTCCAAGCAGCGAGGATGACGATGTGTTGGCGGCGTCAGCGTCTTGGCCCTCCGACGCTACCGATGCTGGCAATTTGTCATCGGCGCCGGATTCGGTCTTGGCAGCCGGAGGCCGTGCCGGAGCAGGAGCAGGAGAGGGCGAAGGGAGTGCTTCCGAAGGTCCGGCGGTCGACGTGGATTGAGACGCGCTGGGTCGCAGCGCCGAGAAGCTAGGCAGTCCAAGCCCGAGCGAGACGCGCTTGCCTCCGGCGTACCACGCACTGCCTTCCTCCTCGCCAGCAGCTCCGCCCTGACCCGCGAGTTTGGCCGCCGACATCTCGTTGAGCTTCTGCAGAGCACGGAGCGCACCGCCTCCGCTCGCGCCCGAGCCCGCCAACGGCGCGCCTGTCGTTCCGGCCTCTGCCGCAGCGATCGGATTCCACGTGACCCGCTCGGCTCGAAGCTCAGCCAGATGCGATGAGAGCTGACCTGCACGCTCGCGATCCGATATCGACAGCGAGGCCCGCGGGCTTACGATCGTCGAGTACTGCCCCGAGACACGACGGAGCTTGGCAGTCGCCTGATCAGTCGATGGCCTCTCGTGCGACGAAGGCGTTTCGAAATCCGGGACAGATCCGTCGCGAGTTTCGGGCTTCCAGGGCGTTGCAAGCACGCCTCGGATGGCATGAATGCTGCCCGGGGTCGGAGGCGAGGCGGATAGCATTGAGCCCTCGGTAGCGCTGTCGAAGTACGACGAATCGGATGGCGTCTCGTTTCGCGAGGAGACAGAGGCCGAGGCTGGCGCCGTCGACATGCCGAGCAGGGCTGCGAGCGTCGACTCGGCCGACTTGGAAGCTGATGCCGTGGAAGCTTCAGCTTTGAGGCTGGTTGTCCGACTGTAATTTGGGAGGCCCGAGATTGCTTGCGGGTCCGTCGCATTCGCCGCGTCCTTGGACGTGATCGTCCTCGTCATTGATGCTGAGGACTCGGATGGCTGCGCGGAGTCCTGGCGGAGTGCTGCCATGAGTGAAGGTCTCTGAACGGGCTTGGCCGAGGAGCGTACGCGCGAAGTTGCTGGCTCGTTGAAGTCTATCAGACCGGCGCCCGATTTGCCGACGGCGGGCACTGACGCTGCTAGAGGTGCAGCCGAGGGTCCCACGGCGATTGATGGGGCGGTGACTGCCGCGGATGTGAAGGCAGCTCCAGCCGCGAAGGCTGTTCTCGATGGCCCACCCAAGTTGGCCATCAACTTGATGCCCGAGGAGGCTCGGCTGTCGTAGCTGACCGAGCGCTTCTTCGGCGGTGTGCCGTCGCGGCTGTCAGAGGATGCGTGCGCGGCCAATTTGGGCGTAGTGGAGGCGGAGGCAGGCTCCTGACTGGTGGACTGTTGTTGTTCGACCGGTGCTTCTTCGGCAATGCTCGACTGCACAGAAGCAAAGTTGGATATCGAGAATGCGCGTCTCGAGGGATTGGGATCGCGACGCTCGGGCGAGGCAGCCGAAGACGGCGAGGCATTGGGAGTGGAGGGTGCATGAAGCATGCGTTCCAGGCGTTTCGCGGCGGTCTTGCCGATGGTAGCGTCTCGATCTTGCGCCTGTACGATACCCGCTGCAGCGGCACCACGAACTTGGAGACCAGCTGCGTCGGCCAGGGCGGTGATGGGGCTTGCAGACGAGGGGTCGACAGAAGGCCGGCGGGAAGCTTGGCCAAGACGTGTAAGCTTGTCCAGCTCCGACGTCGTTCTGGCCATAAAGTCGGACATGTCTGTAACGGCAGTAATCTGGCGGCGCAGGTGGGCCTCCCTGGTGTCGAGATGAGAATCGAGGGCTGCCTCCATGGCGTTGAGCTGCGCAAGCTTGGCTCTAGACGCGAGCGTGTCCAGGACGAGCGCGTTGGACGCCTCCAAAGCCTCCATCGTGGCAGCCATGAGCCTGTCGATCCTCTCTGCGAGGTCGTCGTCGTCTTCGTCATCATCGTCGGTGTCGTCTCGGATGGAGTAGCTGTCAGCGGTGGCCGGGTTCAGGGCAGCGTCCGAGGAGGGTATGTGGTCGCTGCGGTTGTAATGAGCGAGCTTGTCGTCGTGTGGCATCGCTAAACTGGGCGGCACGGCGTCATCGTCGTCATTGAGGGTGAGTGAGAGATCGTTGATACTGGAAGTTAGGCTTTGAGAAGGGGTGAGATTGGCGATGTCGGTGGAATCGGCGTGGTCGATGCAAGTGAGGTCACTGATGCGGCTCTTGCGACGGTGGGCGAATGTGTCGACGTAGGTGGAAGTTGTGGACTCGGCGCGACTGCGAACGGTATCGTTCGAATCGCCAGCAAGGGTATGAGTGGACCAGCGGACGGGACTGTCTCGGGTCACAGCGGGCGCGCTGCGTTCGAGCGGCTTGGAGTCGGCAACGACGGTTTTGGGAGTGGTGCGATGCGGCTGCATCCATTTCGGAGGCAGCCGCGACCGGGTCTGACCCGTGCTAGCAATGACTGGTGCCATAGCTGCGACGGATCGCGTCCGTTGTGACTAACGGCAGGAACTGCCAAAGGAGGTTGGAGTTGCTACAACGGCGATGTACCTGTCATGGTGTTGAGAGGATTGGATGGATGATACTGATGCGATGGCTCGTAGACGGAGCGATCGAGTGACGCTTGTTGTGCCTAGTTGGAAGACAGAAGTGACGATGTCGGAGGAGCCGTGAAAGCATCAAATGGACCTTCTCGGGACGGGCCGATGGACGTGTGGGTCGACGGCGAGCTGCATCCCATCCAACAGCAGCAGCAGCAGCAGCAGCAGCA